CGCATCGCGGGCGAGGCGTCGCGCCTGGCGCATTACAACAAGCGCTCGACCATCACGTCCCGGGAGATCCAGACGGCCGTGCGCCTGCTGCTGCCCGGGGAGCTGGCCAAGCACGCCGTGTCCGAGGGCACCAAGGCTGTCACCAAGTACACCAGCTCCAAGTGAGCGCTCCGACCTCGCTCTTAACCCAAAGGCTCTTTTCAGAGCCACCCACAATGTCTTATGAAATAGCTGTTACATGTATGAATCTTTCAAGTTGAATATGCTGACGTCGCAGCATAAGATAAAGTGCCAAGGCTACCTATGTTTGGTAGGTCAGTCCTGTTTGGCCTAACAACTGTAATGTTAATCTGAACCGAGTGCTTTGAAGTTATGTTAGTGATACATTTTGTAGGTGCCTAGTCTGTCCCCATACCTCCACCTATGGTGTCCCCGTTAAATCTTTTGAACTTTGAAAAAACAAGCATCCTTTTTCATTGTTTTCAGTCCTTGCTATTAAAAGGACCAAATACCCGAGGTTCATGATCAACCACTAACCTTTGTTTCTGAACGTCATAGTTACAGTATAATAGTGAAACTCCTATGCTATAATGTAACATTTTGGGAGTTGGTAAAATTCAGCCATAAGCACAGTGGAGTCATGAATCAGTTCTTTAGAATTACCTTTTGAAAGCTCTATTGTCAATGTCTTTAAAGCCATCTGTAGTTTCTCAGCAGAACTTCAATGCACACCCATTGGCATCTGCCTCATCTAGAACACTCACGGCTTGATGAGGGGAGGTCAGGAAAGATTCAAATCCCAGATCTTCAGCTTTTGTTACACACCTTTAATCCCATCATTTGGGAGCAGTACCAGGTACTCTTGAGTTTCAGGCCAGCCTGGTCACACAATCCCGTCATTCTGTCTTACACAATGAGGTACAAGGTACATAGATTAGATGATAGATAGATAGATAGATAGATAGATAGATAGATAGATAGATGATAGATAGATAGATAGATAGATGATAGATAGATAGATAGATAGATAGATAGATAGATAGATAGATAGATATTGGATCCTGAAGCTGTATTGCACCAAATTTTCTAACTGAATGCAACTGGAGGCAAAATATTCATTTACCAAGTCTGCTGAATTTTTAAAAACTGCGTAATGGGAAAAAACTGATTTTTAAAAAAGGAAACAACTATTTTGTCTCGTGGGAAAGTCAATCATTGGCTTTTTACAAAGAAAAAGCTTATGCAGACGGCACATAAGCCTTGGAGTGAAGGCTCCAGTAAGGAATAAAACTGCCCAAAGGGTATTTACAGGAAAAAATCAGAGTGCTCTCAAGTGGAGAAAGTTGATTACAAACAAAAGTTAATCAGTCTTCATGGCCCTTCATAGAATAATGTTCAGAAAGTGTTTTGAACATAATCTAGGTGGAGATTTTAGCTTCCAAATAGCAAAACCTTCTTCCATCAGTCACTGGCACAATTCCTTAAAAGCCAGCCTTGACGTCCTTCCTACAACAAAACGTTATAACCTGTAGGATAAACCCAGTGACCAGGTGGATGGCTTTTTAAATAATTAAGATAATGAAGGCAAGTAAAAAAAACAGTGAAATATCAGAATCTCAAAAATAAAAAGCACAAAAGGCCTAGGACAATGCTGTACATTTCTAATTTAATCCCAGTACTTTGCAGGAGGAGGAAGAGATGTCCCACTTCAAGACAATTCTGGAATACAAAGCTAGTGAAATTTATTTATTTTTTTTTTTTTTTGTTTGTTTTTGATTTTTCGAGACAGGGTTTCTCTGTGGCTTTGGAGCCTGACCTGGAACTAGCTTTGTAGACCAGGCTGGTCTCGAACTCACAGAGATCCGCCTGCCTCTGCCTCCCGAGTGCTGGGATTAAAGGCCTGGGCCACCATCGCCCAGCTGAACCTCTTTTTTAAAAGGAGGGGGGGTACCCAAAGGGTTTGCTAAGGAATTTACTGGTGGGTAGACTAGGAAAGATGAAGTGAATGGTAAATACCGGTTACCATTTGAAATCTGGGTGAACAAATTTCCAGTCACAACTTTTAATGGTTCTGTCCTTTAGAGGTGGTTCACAAATGCAATACATACAGAAGTACAACTGTCAGTCTTACTTTACATTCTGCAGTTCCTTACAACACGTCCTGAGTGTTCTAATGCCAGTACTTACTAAGTATAGAGGCTAATTTAAGACAGCAAGGTTCAGGATCTTTTTCCAAAAAGCAAATACTTCTGTGTCACTTGTGAAAAAAATTGACGCAGACATAACATTTCGACAAATAATTTGGGGTATTAAAACTATGCTGACACAAATGGAGGACATTACAGCTCTTTTTTGTATGGTGGGTGGCTCTAAGAAGAGCCTTTAAAAGTAGTTATGTAGAAAAGGGATTTATGCTCTCTCCCCGCGGATACGGCGGGCCAGCTGGATGTCCTTGGGCATGATGGTGACGCGCTTGGCGTGGATGGCGCACAGGTTGGTGTCCTCAAACAGACCTACCAGGTAGGCCTCGCTGGCCTCCTGCAGTGCCATGACGGCCGAGCTCTGGAAGCGCAGGTCTGTCTTGAATTCCTGTGCGATCTCGCGCACCAGACGCTGGAACGGCAGCTTGCGGATCAGCATCTCGGTCGACTTCTGGTAGCGCCGGATCTCGCGCAGCGCCACGGTGCCGGGCCGGTAGCGGTGCGGCTTCTTCACGCCGCCGGTGGCCGGGGCGCTCTTGCGGGCGGCTTTAGTGGCCAGCTGCTTCCGCGGGGCCTTGCCGCCGGTGGACTTGCGAGCGGTCTGCTTTGTTCGAGCCATTATTGGAAAAGAGAGGGAAATGTAAGCTTGAAATGTGTTGGTTCAAATTTATAAAGGCAAGGTATTCCTGATTGGTTGGAACCTTCAAAGGCCACGCCATAAATGACGATTGCGGAAATGCTCGGTAATTGGATAACAGACCTCAATTTTAAAATTTGTAACCAATAGAAATGTTGTACATTATATGGCGTTTGGTTCTTTGTCATATATTACTTCCTTAAATATACCATACATATGTAACAATACGAATATATATTGTTGCCACTAAGTGACTTAGTTTTTAATTTAGCTTACCAACAAATTACTAAGAAATAGTACTGATATTTTTGGCGACACCTGAGAAGCTTAAAGGAGTATTCGTAGAACTTAGTTGCTTAATTTTGTATTTTTCCTTATTTTTATAGTTGCGGGAAGGAAAGGGAGCATCTTCATCTCCAGACGAAAATGTGGTCTAACAGGAACACACACTCTGTATACCTTTTAATAAATTCATCGGCTTTGTACTTGGCTTAGCCTCAGAAAAGCGAATTAAGTATGTATCTTCAAAGCAAATGCTAGAGTGGTGAACCGTTTGTCATCAGTAGGATTCACTCTCTACCGTTTACTTTCACTCTGGGCTTTCCTTACAGGGTACTAAACTGTACTGCCTTGGGAACCTGGGGAAGCCTGGGGGTATGCGATGGGTCTCTTTTCTTTCACTGGACCGAAATCCGAAGTGGAAAAATACAGAACGTTTCAACGGTTTGATATTGAATTGGACGCGAGCTTTAACTTCTAGAATTTGAAACTAAAGCAAATTCTGCTTTTAAAAAAATCTATTCTAAAACGTTTAGAAGGAAATGAATGTGATGTACAGTTAAGAGGCATAATCGCTAAAAAGGTTATTACAAGATTCGGGTTTAACCAATGGGAGAGTAAACCGGTCTCTCTAACAGCTAACCAATCAGAAAGGGAGAAAGTAAGTCTTAATTTGCATAAAACTCCCTACAAATAGACAAACAACGTGTTCTCAGGCTTCACTTTCTTTTTCTTGCATAAAGAGACTGGAAAATGCCTGAACCTGCAAAGTCCGCGCCCGCCCCGAAGAAGGGCTCCAAGAAGGCCGTGACCAAGGCCCAGAAGAAGGACGGCAAGAAGCGCAAGCGCAGCCGCAAGGAGAGCTACTCGGTGTACGTGTACAAGGTGCTGAAGCAGGTCCACCCCGACACCGGCATCTCTTCCAAGGCCATGGGCATCATGAATTCGTTCGTCAACGACATCTTCGAGCGCATCGCGGGCGAGGCGTCGCGCCTGGCGCATTACAACAAGCGCTCGACCATCACGTCCCGGGAGATCCAGACGGCCGTGCGCCTGCTGCTGCC